ATTAATTAATTAATTAATTAATTAATTAATTCATTCATTCATTCATTCATTCATTCATTCATTCATTCATCAAATGTATCTGGCTGCCCATCTCACAAAAAAGTGATTCTGGGTGACATATAATAAGATTATAAAATAGTTAACATATAAAAAAATTAGTATTAGAAAAATTAAAAAACCACAAAGTCTGAGAGAGGACAGCGGATGTAAACAACAATGGACCAACCGAACACACATACTGCCATAAGGAGACAACTCATAAAAACTTGAGGGACCAATTAATAGAATACTTCATAAATTACTAAAATGTTCTATAATATCAATTATAGAATACATCATTATCAATAAGACTTTGTGTATGTGTGTGTACCTTCTAGTCAGTGTTGACTCCTGGTGACTGCCTGGAGTAATCCCTTCAGCTTTCTTGGCAAGATTTTGGAATACCACTTATTATCCCTAATGATTAAGAGAAAAATTTGTTTCAGAATTTTTTTGCTTGCCATATCAAAGGCATTTTCTTCATGCAGCAAAATTACCCCTGCAGATTTCATTTACTTTGAATATATATCCAGAATGACAGTTAGTAATCTAATAGTTTGAGGCTTTTGCACCCTTTTATAAAATAGATTGTGCAGAATGGTAATATCAGTTGTAATCCACATGCAAGGATTGCTGTCAATATTTTTCCATCAACAAGGAAATTGGAATACAGCTTGCACAATCAGCAGGATCTTTACTGGCTTTCAAAATCGGAGTTATATAAGCCTCACTAAAGGAGATTTGAAAAACTTTATTAAAATGTTACTGACTGATCAATCATATTTCTGTACTGTTAAATCTTACAGCTCACAGTGGTTTACAGTGATAAAGCAACAATTAAAATACAACAAAACCATAAAAATTATATACAAATGATTGCAACTAAAATGGTAAAGCAATGCAATCACACAGGTACTCCCTCTGTCCTGGGTGACATTAACCTTCTAATGTCCTGCAGAATAGTTCAGTCTTTACCGATTTATTAAAAAGTACAAAGATTGGCACTAATCTCAACTATTCCAGGAGATGGGGATCACTACCAAAAAATAATGCTTTTAGGTCTCCCTCAATTTTCTCTCTTCTATGCCAGAAGCACCTAGAATGTTCAGTCAAGAAGAACGTACCCGATGGGTTAGTTCTACTTGGAGAAATAAGTTATATTTTAATACCAAGCCATCTAGGTTTTAAAGATTAAAATCAACAATTTTAACTGTACCCAGAAACCTATTGGAAGCCATTGCAGTGCCTGCTGTATATGTACTACGTTGTTCTACCTGTTACAGCCAAAAAGGTAATAACTTATCAGTTCTTTCATCTCCCCCCCCCCAACTTTGCTTTATATGATTCAGTGAATATTCTGTAAGCTTGCATGTATGAGAATTAGGTTTTGGAGGGATAGTATTCTGGTCTCATAAGGGATATACAAGTTGATCAAATCACCAACTACAATTAAGTGACCCATAGCCAAAAGACATTCCAAACATATACTACATACTATAACTAGAAAATCCATATAGGACCATAATAATTAATTAATACATATTAATTAAAGTACTATATGAACTTCATAAAGGAGTAAATAAACCAAAATAAAAGAAAAAAATAGGAAAGCAAATGGGTGAAAAATAGCAGATATTCAAAGTTGTTCATAAACGAAATGTATGAATCGCTAAAGCCAAATCAATAAAATGTATAAGAAACAGCTGCCATCATAGACAAAGGCATTGTTTGCAAGTAAATGGATCTTTACTCTCAAAGTCAAAAACAAACAAAGAAACCGGCAGAGATGTAAAAGATCCCAGAGAAAGCAAAGCTGTGCTAGGAAACAAATTGATACAAACTAATGTATTGAATTATGTCCTGAAGCTGATTGGCATTGAATCTGCTTGTTGTTAAATAAGATTTTAATTTTTCCAACTGGCCTAAAGAAATAGAGAGCCATATAAATTCTAGTTTCTGAGCAGTTTTTTCAAAGACCCTGAAAGTCTAAACATGTTCCAAGGGAAAGCCCTGGTGAGTTTTTTAAAGCCCTGAGCTTTAATTTTAGTTGATTGAAACAGATGATCAAATAATAGAGAGTTCTTGTTCTCTTCATTTTGCTGCATTTTCATATTTCAAAATTTGTACTCCCCCCCTCTCAATCTTTTGCTGATAGTACATTGGAATAGAAAAACAGCAGGGACAGATGTACTGTCCACCCTTTCTGATTTGCTTGACTTTCTAACCTTGGCTGGCCATTTCTAAAACACTTGAAACAGAATGTTCTGCGATTAAAGATTCCATGAAAGAAGTTCTACTTTTAATATTGCTTCTTCCTGAAATGGCTTTTCCTAAAGGAAATAGTCCTTTTTAATAATAGATAGCTGGTTTTTAAGGGAAGCCATTATCTATTAGCCTTCAGCCACTCATCTGTAATACTAGAAAACACCAACACAAGAACAGAAGAAGATAACTTATAATGTTCTTCTACTTCGGATTTGGTTTTAGGGCAGAGTATTTTCAGCTCTATTCAAAAATACCAGAGATAGAAAACTAAAAACTTCTATATTAAAGAATAATCTGAGTGAAGCTTTTCCCTGTGCCATTCTTATAGCATTGTTGAGGAATTGATGAGATAACAAGTAGGAATTTCTGTAATTACATATTGGTTTGTATGTTAGATTTATACCCCATCTTTCATTCAGGAGTTCAAGAATCAGGAAGAATCCCACTGAATCATACCAAAAGTCTACCTAGTTGAGCAGATGTGTCCACAGTGGAGGGGAGGAGGGTGGGGAGGGAGGGAAATTAAAGCAGTGTCATGATGCATATGTGCATTGAGAAATTGCATGCATATACAAAAGGAGCAGAGCTTATGTCCTGAGGGCATGATACTACTTTTGTCATTTTGACAGAAGTCTCCAATGTCCCACAGATCTCTGTGGCTCCCCACTCATGTTTCACACAAAGATCAGTTAGGAAACCCACAAGCAAAAAATGGAAAAGGAAAGCACCAAATGCAAGTATTAATTAGATGTGTGTGTGCGTATGTGTGCGTGCACATGTGTTTATTTAAATACATAAAAAATGCCTGCATGCCAGAAAAGACAAGAGAAAGAATCATGTGTTATCCAAAAGAGAAAGACATCCTTATAGAATGTTCTTTATCACCAGGACTAGGGCTTATGACTGGCAGAGATGACTGGAAGGCTGAATTTACTTAGCTCAATGGCTTCTAAAAATTGGAACTATTTTTTAAATCTCATAGCTTCAGAAACAGAAATGGAAATATATTGCAATAGCAGAAAGGCCTGTTCCATAGACATGTAATTGGATAAAATAATGCTAGAGTCAAGGCCCATGAATAAAAAGTAGGGCTTTGGCTGGATATGGAATGAATAGCCTAGAAGCATTTTGGGTGGGAAGAAGAATGTGGGGAGTGACATAATATACTAGACAGCTTATCTTGCATCTTAGACAAAATAGAGTTGGCACAGTTCATTATTAAGGAATAAAACATGCTTTAAATCAACTGCAGCATTTTTCACTAGGTAAATAAGATCTATTTTGAAAGGGCAAGGAAAAAAAACTCCATAAAAACTGGCCAGGGGAGATTACATTTTGCCTTTTAGCTCATTCTTATAATCACATTTGGCACAGGGCTTAATAAATATCCAATAATATGGGCAATTGCCACTTCCTTTAATGACAAATAAAAAAATGCAGAAAGAACTTATTTTTGCAGGGCTATTAGCATAAAAATTAAGAATCTAACAAGAGAAATTGTAAATTGGGTAGGGGAAAGATTTTATATCTATGTGGTAGCATTACAGAAAAGAATTTAGGGATTAAACTAGGTAATCCATGGAAGATGACTCAAGATTTTACCATTGTTGTATAAAAGGCAAATGCTACTTTCTGTTTCTGTTTCTAGAAGCATTACTCACAGACCTCAGTAAATAGCTGAACTATTCAGCTGTTTCATCATGGTAAATACTGTACTCTATAATTCCTCTTTGTCACAAGGATAGGAAATCTGAGCAAAGATATAAAGGCAAATACATGGTCTTTGTATCAGACATATTATTTGGGTATAGGCTATGGAAATCAAGACAGTTTGTCTGTATTTTACCTTGACTATGGCCTTAGGATAGCCATAATCTCATTTATGTTAAAACAGGATGCGACATAGACCACAAAATATCTTGGCTAAATGATCTCATTTCCATCTAGGTAGATGAGAAATTCTCTGCTGAGTTTCCATCTGCTCTGCTATCAGCTGCATTATAAATAGATTGGCTGAGCAATGGTAACATGGCCACACGCCCAGAAGCAGCAACCCATTCCTTCCCTTTGAATTCTTTGACTCTTCCTTGGCATCAGGATCTCACATTGGCTGACCCCAGGCTTGCATAGTCCTAAACTGGGCCTGCGTCTCAGAACACCATTTTAAATTGGCTGATTCTGAATGCCATATTTAAATCAAGGACTCTGAAGCTAGTAAAGACAAAAAGGAAAGCCAAAGAGTGGGATGAAAAAATGAAACCAAACCATTGAAAGGAACTGGATGTTTCACCATGCTGTTGGTTTCTCAGCGGGAAAAGTTTCAGGTGTCAATTAAGGATGCTCCATACAACCCATAGTAGTGAAATTGTCCACAAAATGAGAAATTATAGTTGTACAAAAAATCCAATCTTTTTTTTTTCCTTATGCATTGTGCACCACTTAGAGGTGTTCCACTGACATTAGACTTCTACTGGGAAAGTATCACATTTCTGCAGAATTCAAGTTGCAGCTTTTGTTTATTCAGTCAAATAGCCCACTGTGTTACAAGCCCCTGATAATTACTGTGTGCGACAAGGCAAGTGACAAGCAATTCAGCTCCTCTGCACTTTATAAATAATGCTCACACTGAGCCTTATATTTCATTGGCAGTTCAGGAATGGCACTGGTCAAATTTCTGCTTGTTCCCATTGTACAGTAGCCCTTTTATCTTTGTGGACTGTAGGCATAATAATTCCTCACCATGATCTTAGTTATCATTATTGTTATAACATAACAATAGCTGCATGGATGAAGAAAACATCATTGTTATAAGTACAGCAAGGACAAAATCTGAATTTGCTCTGCAACAGTTGACGATGTTTACACCATATCAGCTTCAGTCAAATAGTCATTTTATTCTCCATTATTTTTTATACACAGTCTAATGTATAAGACCCTATAATTCTTCTCTTGTGTATTCTCATACTCTGCTTAATTTTTATTAGGTTCATTGTAATTAAGAGAGAGGGGCCTGTCAAAGATACCCTACTTCCCCTTCTCCACACCTCATGTAAGGATTTGCTATAGCCTCAGTGGGTTTATTTCTCATGTGTTTCCCATGCAGGTCTTCAATTGGTTATGAGATAACATTCATCTTATTTCAGTCAGATTGCCCCATTTTTTTCAGATTAGGTTGGGGGATCAATGGATCCTAGTTTTAAAAAAAATGTTTACTTGAAGTTGAAATTAATCTATTAAACTATTTTATTCTGAGTCTATTGGACTCCTCAAAGTATATGTATGTCAGAAAGAATGGTCTATAGATTTTCTCTGCTGGTGATGTAAGAAATTTGAGGGAATTACTTATGAATTGGTGGTATCTGATTTTTGTTTCTTTTTGGAAGAAAGTTGTAACATGAATAAGTAGATATCTGGGTAAAAATTTTCAAGTTAGTAATGTCAGAATTATTTTGATTTATATTCCACAATTGGGGAATCTGACTTTTTCTGAGCAGCACTGGTTGGTGTGGGAAATAGCCAGAAGTATTACACTGGAAAAGTATTATTACCCTGGGTATCAAAAACTTAATTCAAGAAATATGTACCTTGCCCATTTTTAAAAAGGCTGTTTTTCCACTAATCAAAGAATGAAACAATATGTTTTACTTTACATAGAATTCAAAATGTTTTACAGGACTAGGCAATAGGTAATTTGTCAGATATTACTCCTTTTAATTGGTTTTTGTATATTTTTCTGTATTTGTCTCAAAAATTGCAATAATTTTTTTTTTAAGTTTTAAGGTGAAGATGAACAATTTGTAATGGAAGTGAAAGTAATATGTTTAAGTTATTAGATGTCAAAATCTACAAAACCTTATAAGCCCATTTGACCATATTGTCATATAAGCAATATGTTTACCACACAGTTATTTCTAGGTTCTATGATTAAGCCTTAATTTCTATTTTATTTTATTGTAGAAAATTGTATCTGTGGCCTTTGTTGCAATCAACAGTTCATTTTTAATCTCTTGGTTTCAAGAAATCCACATTACCCTGCAGATAATGTAATCTAAGTAATATATTGAAAGATCAAAGGTAAGATTAAGATCCAATGTAAAGAAAGATAAAACTTTAAGGGTGCATTTTAAGTCCATTTTTAGAAGATCACATAAATGCCATTGCTGTCACATTTTTCTTGTTTTCCTTTTCTTTTTGTTAAACTGAGCCTGCGTTGTTCACATTGCAGTCTGTTGAACATTATACATCATGAGATGTGGGCGTACCCAGTTCACATTTCAGTTAGGAGAATGATAATGTTCAGTTCTACCATGAAAATATGGCACACATACAAAGTAATTTAAATCCTTTTTCTTGTTGAAAAAAATAGTTCTGCATTATGAGTAGCATCTTAAGATTCTCTTCATGGAACAACACTAAATCTTTCCTTTTAAACAAGTCACTCACTTGTTGTGAGCTAAATTTATCTTTCTTAGATGTTCAAAGCTTGTTCATTTGTGTTTCCAGCAATTCAATTTTCTCCAAGACTGCAGCTTTGTTTCTTTGTTACCCTGATATAGTTGAAAGGAGAGACAGGGAGCTTGTGAGGAAATATCGCTGCCATCTGGGGATCGATTGGGTATGTGTTGTCTCCACTTCTTGCATTAGTCCTTTCTCCTTGCACTATGGACTCTGCAGAGGTTGATATAAAAATAATAAATTCTGTTTAACATGTCCCTATCACTTAACCAGGATTTGAGAGGAGCAGGTGCTATGTTGCAATTTTCTTTTCAGATTTTTCTTTGAGAGGAAAGATCTGTCTTCTCTTCAACACAAAGCATTCCCCTTTGTACCTTTTTTAATTGCTCTGTCTCCCTGTTGAAGATATATTGATATTTGCCATGTGATAGTTATTGCCTAGAAATCAATCTGGATCTCTGCTCTCCACAAAGGTATGAACAAATCTAAATGCATTAGCTCAGACTACAAAAATCCTACAGTCACTTATACAAATGCCAGTCCTCTGGGAACTATGAAATGTATTTCTGAGTAGACATGTATAGGACTGCACTTTCCAATGCAGAGGCACATCTTGCAACTTTTTGAAGCCCCACATCTGCTGTTGCTAAGTCTTCCTTTAAATACAGTAGCATATTATACTCCAGCTAGATGGGGGAGAATAGCCCCCAGTTACAGTATATCCTCACTGAAGATTACAGCAATGGTAAATATCAAAATATTTGCTTGCTCACCTTTATTCACTTGAGCTGTAAAATTATCAGCTTTCACAAGAAGCTAATACCAAAATGGCAATGCCAGTAGAACAATACAAAATGTTTTCCCTTCAGTACCATATACCTCATATGCGATTTTGTATAAATAAATAAACCAGAATTTTACAGGTTATCTGTTCAACCAGGCATGATATTTACTAAATTTCCAACTGTTCTATATTTTAAGCAATGTTTCAGGAAAACTCATATTAAACCATGTCAATCTGTCTGCATTTGTACATTTCTCAGCAACTCCCTCTTGAAGAACTTTGGTACGCTTATGCATGCTGGCTAGAGAATTAACTGAGCAGGTGTTCCCTACATGTGACGTTGTCTAGACAGACCTCTATCTGTGTACTGCATAATATTTTGAAAGAAAGCTCCTTCTCAGGATGGCAGTCATCAGGGATGGAGGGATACCTCTGCATGGACCAGGAAACACAATCTAAAGGCAAGTTTGATTTGATCTGATTTTATATACATTTTCCCAACTGAGATTTTAGACCCATGTGTGAAGGTCCAGTTCACGGATAATCTTGATAGTTTGAAAAGGGAACTCTAATTCTCTTGCTCTTGTCTCTGAGGTATCAGGTACCATCTTGTATGGAACACAAGATGTGGAAAAATTCAAATTATTTGCTGCTCAGTATGGGAATCCCAGGGCAGATAGCAGTGCTAGGCTTCCCTGCCTGGATGTTGGGATTCTTAGGGTACTGATATCCAGCCTAAAAGACCTAGGGATTCTTACTAATTCCTCAAAGACCTATCAACTCTGGGTTAGTAATTCACATGCAAACCTTATCTGCAACAGTGGTGTCACCTAAGTACAAGACAAAATAAGTCAGCAAAACTTTTTCTGAAAAGTCCACAGATGCTGTATAAAGCAAGAGAGGTTGATCCAATTACACACACACACACACACACACACACTTTAATTGAATTGTTCATACGAATGTGCTAACTCTTGGAGAGGTAGCTTTGGAAACTTTCTACTATTTCCATCTTTCTTTTCTATTGATTACCAGGGGCATTAGGAATAGAGATAGAAAAGTAAGAACTCCTACATTCCTCTCCTTGTCTCTGTTTTGGTTCCCTCTATTTGAAGGATTGATACTGTATTTCCTTCAGCTTGCTCTCTAAAGGAAGAATAGAAGGTCCCTCCTACATCTTATCCCCCCATCACTACCCCAAGGACTAAAAGCTCAAAGGTGTTGGCTTTATATTTATACATCTTAATAAACTTCATTTATTCTTGGACCTAATATATTATTCCTGAACTTTGGAATTTATTCCAAAATGTGCATCAGACTGCACAGGTCTGTGAATATAGTATTCCTCTTCAGTTCTTTAAAGCAGATTCATTATTTCCTAAGATCACATGAGACGAATCCGGAAAAAGGCACAGGTGCTCTAAAGAGCTGAGTTACATTCATGTTTCCACACATACATTCTGAAGCACTGTTTTGGAATCTAATCTAAAGTGCTACACTGACCTGTTAAATCTCTCTCTCTAGAGTCACTGGGAGTCAAGTGGCATAAAAATTATGATTATTATTATGGTTGGCCACACAGTCAGCCAGATGTTTAGACTGGATTTGGCATTTTTGTCCACCTATCAAGTCCTTCCCAAGGACCAGGTATAGGCAGATATTGTTGTTTAATAATATTAAAGGTATTGTCACAGGATGTAAGCTGTTCCAAGTAAAGCTGCCTTCTGCAATTGACTG